GGCGTGGTTTACAGGTAGAAATGCCTTCAATGCCCTGTGCACGCGCCATTCATTACGCGATATCTAATCATTGATATTATAAATTGTAGTGTATATCCTACTACTACGTGTTACTAGGTAGTTAGACTAGAGTTAGTTAGCAATCTAGGATATCCATAGGATAGTTATAGCCTATGATATTATTTTAGTTAGTTGTTATAATATAGTCAATGGCCGCGTGTTGCGCTGTTAGCTGCAGGTGCGACTTGTTCTTGCTGCCAGGGTCAGACATTGCGCGCAAAGTTAAATTGGTGGTGGGAACAGTGAGTTCTAATACAAATAAATGTCATGGATAACCGGGCCAATTCTGTCGCCTTTAGCTCTGCGGCGGCTGCTGTAGCCCTTCTTTTTCTCCACCCTGTATTAGTTACAGGTACCCCCCCCTACACAGGCACTTCGAACGTCTCCAAAAAAAAGGTAAACACGAAATGTACGTTACTACCAAAGTCTTAATGTTTCTTACTACTATTTCGCCTATTATTTGCCGATATTACCCGTAAATGCGGTCAAATTAGCTCATCTGCCAACACACAAGTAGCCATGACCTGCACGCATGCCCTTTGATCTTGATTGTCGGCCGCCCGAATATTATGACGCAGGTGGTGGCGGCATGAGTGAAATTAGGCGTCCGGCTCGGACCGCGACACAGATGCCGTGTCGATTACGGTCTGTGTGCAGGCATCCCAAGTCCACGGATGGTCCGTTGGAAAGAATGAGTTCTTGAAATTCGCTTCTGCTTGAGGTTGCTAATGACTGCGAGTTTGTTGTTGTTTTTGCTCCTTGTGCGCGATGGGACCCATCCTGATGTACTGGACTTTTTGGGATCGCCAGTACTTCCAGGAGAAGTTTGTGAAGACAGGTTGAGTCGCTTCTCTGTTACGCGTAGTTGAACGATTGGCCAATTAAGTGATTGTAACATTGCAGTTACGGCTGTTGCGTTCTGCCCATAATCGATTGCAGACGAAGCTAGCTGCCGCGGATTGGATCATTTTTTTTCAATTTTTTTTGATTGTTTTTTAAAATGTGGTCCAAGACTGTGCAGGCATACTTAGCCTTAGACCGAGTGCGAGATTTGTATGCATGTGGCCTTCAGCCGTATCTTGGGCGCGTATTTTAAATTACTTTTTGACGAAGCTAAAGGGTGCTGCTTGGCTTTCGCACTATAAACTATTGATATATATTTGTACGCGTATTATGACGCAGGTGGATGGGGCATGGTGAAATTAGGCGCTCCCGGCTGCGACCGCGACACAGATGGTGTCGATTACGGTCTGTGTGCAGGCATTCCAGTCCACGATGGTCCGTGGAAAGAATGAGTTCTTGAATTCCTCTGTTGAGGTTCTAATGACTGCGAGTTTGTTGTTGTTTTTGCTCCTTGTGCGCGATGGACCCATCCTGATGTACTGGACTTTGGGGATCGCAGTACTTCCAGAGAGAATTTTGTTGAGAAGGTTGAGTTGTGGCTTTCAGCGTTTTGGGCGCGTATTTCAAATTACTTTAGACGAAGCTAAGGGTGCTGTTGGCTTTCGCACATAAACTATTGATATATATTTGTCCCACTTCAGGGCGTTCGAGAACAAGGGTGCCCTGCATTTACGGGTAATTATCGGCAATAATAGGCGAAATAGAGTTGAGAAACATTAGCCTTTGATAGTAAATACATTTCGTGTTTATTTACCATTATTTTTATTGAGACGTTCCAAGTGCCTGTGCCCCCCTGCAGTACAGGGTTCCCCTATAGCGGGAGCGAAGGGGCTACACCGGTAGAGCTAGCATAACCTCATCGACGTGGATATCGTTCCGAGCATCGGAAACGCGTTGGGTCGCGATATCACGAGAAAAACAATGTAGCACACACAGTTCCAAGTAAAACTTTATATCAATACAATCAGGAGTCTATCAGTATCACCCTGATACAATATATGTAAGACTAGCTCCAAGAAACGGTCATACTTCAAGAGACCGTGTATTGTGTATATTGACGTTAGTCGTTATAGTCACACAGCCTGGTCGGGCTAATGTAAGACATATATGCCTTCCGACAAAATTTGTTTACTACAAACTGTAATATATCTAGCTCTATAGTACTATAGCCCTGGGCTATGGTACGGTGCAAATCCACTTTAGGCACATTAGGTATCACAAAGTGATGCACAGATTTCTGTGTATCATCAACTGATGCACAGAATTTCCGTATATCCAGATGAGACGGGATACTAGAGAAGCGTTGCCGAAAGGAGATTTGATCCGAAGCGCTCGAGCGCAGATCTTTCGCGCAGTTCCGCGGCAAGGCGCACGCGATAGGAGTAAGGTTATACTTTATGACTTAGGGTTAGGGTTAGGGTTAGGGTTTTTGCATCATTCCTTGATATACGGAAAGTCTGTGCATCAGTTGATGATACACAGAAATCTGTGCATCACTTTGTGATACATAAGGTGCCTAAAGTGGATTTGCGCCCTATGGTACTAGAGCTATAATATCAAATTAAAATCAAATTTAAATGCTGAAATCATGCTGCAGTATTAGTCATATTAATAAACTTTTCCCGTTTTATTTTGACGATTCTTTGGAGTATTATTGATCAGCTGTCCTACCTTGTTAATATAAAACAAACCGCATGTCCCTACGATGCCCCTACGCTGAGATAATGAGCGGTGAAAATCTGGTATTCTCAGCCGCCACACAGAAATTTGTCCAAAACAGCTGACGAAAATCACTGTTCTTCCATTAATAAAATCAATACTTGCATTATTTCATATTCATAGTTATTTGTTCCTTTTGACATCTTGAAAAAGAGATTGAAGAGTCTCATACAAGGTGTTCGGAATAGCTTAGAATGCACCAAATTGACCATTTTTACAAAAACTTGTGGAGCTCAGCTAGGATCTCAAGATGCACAAACACACACACACAAATTTACCACCTCACAGACCTTTTTGGCGAGGGGATACACTGACATGCAATACTCTACGATGCTCAAAAAAAATAGCTATGATCGACCAGTTTCTGATGCTCGAGAAGGTATCTTAACCGAACATGTTTTAACCTCATAATAATTAGTCTTCAAAGTTCAAGGGACTATATCAAATAGGTTTATGGTATTGACACTATTGGCGTTCACCCTGTACCCTGAACCTGGGCCGGCCCACATGCACTTGGGCCGTTTCAATAAAAATTATTGTAAATAAACGCATTGTATTTACTACCAAAGTTTTAATGTTTAGTATGTATTCTGTATTGAATAATAATTTCTCGTTAATGCCATTCAAATTTTCACCGCAACACATGGTCTCACTGCACGCATGTTACTGTGTACAAATTCACAGTCACAGAGTCGTGAGGTGAGACTGTTGTGGAGGAGGATTTGAACAGCGTTCACGGGGAGTAGTAACAATAGGTAAAAGAGTGCAGATGAACATTAGGACTTTGGTAATAAATAGAATTCGAGTTTATATACCATCATTTTATTATTGAAATTACCCAAGGCTAATTTTTAGCTCAGCTTGACATCGTCAAGCTGAGCTATTGCCATTGGTCGTCGTACGTCCGTCCGTCCGTCAAC